ACGGACCAGACAGTTTGGAGCGGCGCGTGGACGCGTTGGGCGAGAAGGGAAGAGCATTGGACCGAGTTGACTCGGTAGACGTGGAACTCGGTTATTGCTTGTTTGAGATCTTCCAACTCATCGTGGGTCAAACCGGGTGGGAGAGTGAGATGGTGGGCCGAGAGGATTTCGTCTGATGAGGATTCTACTGCTGATTCTTCTCCATCGTGTTGTTGTTGTTCCATTGTTAAAGTTTGAGGTTCAACTTTCTCCATCATAAAGAAAGAGGGTATAGTATAAATACACACAGAAATGGAGTGGAGAATGGGGTGGTGAACGTAGATGGGGGGCAAGATCGTGGCAGTGTAAAGTATTATATTAATGGAATAATTGGTGGTGGGTTGAGAATATAATTTGCATATTTTGGGCTGTTTTGGCCCTTCCTTTGCCTTTGGGGTGGAGTGAAGCCGCAGAGGGTGGTGGGGACTGGAGCATGTTGGTGGTGAGGACGAAGTAGGCCCGGCACGTCTGGCTAACCGTGAAAAAAAAAAAAAAAAAAAANTTTAGTATTATCAACACCTGCTTGAGCTCTATTTTTCAAAAAGTACTTTTTGTGTTTCAGTTTTTTGTTTTGAATTTTAAATTCATTTTGGATTTTGTGTTTGTATCCATTTTGAGATTATTGAAAATATGTTTTTTTTTTTGTTATTTTGAAAAATTATTTTCAAAAATAAAAAATTGAAAAAGTCGTTATCTTTTTTCCTCTCTCTCTTTCTCTTCTTTCCCTCCTCTTGGTCGTCTCCCTTACAATGTCGTCGGCGCCGAAGATCGGCTTCTTCTGTTGTTGGGTGTGGCGGCGTTGGTTGGATGCGGCATCAGCTATCTCTCTCTCTCTCTCTCCTCCTCCTCCTCCTCTCTGTTGTTGGTTGGATGCAGTGTTGTCGGCTTCTTCTATTGTTGGGTGTGGCGGTGGTTGTGGTTTTGGGTTGTGACGGTTGTGTGGTGTAGCATGTGGCGGTGGTTTTGGGCCGCCACCAACAAAAATACCTACTTCTTCGGCTGTGGTGGTGACGGCGGTGGTTTTGGATCATGACGTTGCCGACAGTGGTTTTGGCGGTGTGGCGACGACGACAATGTGGTGTAGGTGGTGGTTTTTGTTGGTAGCGTAACTGAAAACAGTCAAAACGCGTTTTGAAAATTTTGGCTTGATTTTAATTGAAAACACCAAAAAAACATTTTTTATGTTTTCGATTTTCTTTGTAAATTTTAAACTGGTTTTTGGAAATTCGTTTTTGAAAATAGGTAAGTAAACATATTTTCACTATTTTAAAAAATCGAAAATAGATAACGGGATGGAAACAGTAAAGAGAACAACCCTTAACTTTTTTTTAAAACACATTCTCCTATAAAATAATATTACACGTAAATTTAAATTTTTTCCTTCATTTTTAGATATATATTCTTCAAAAAATCACTATTATAAAATATATTTTCCTCAAAAATCTTATTTTAATGGAGTCCAAATGAGCTAAGTAAATTTATGTTTGGAAATTAGTTACTTAAAATAAATAAATATGTAAATGCTTTTAAGTTGGTCAAACCTAAAATAAGAGTATGTTTGACCCTAGTTTTTCAAAAAGAATTATTTTTTCAAAACTTATTCTCCTATAAAATAATTTTACATGTAAATTAAAAATTTTTCCTTATTTTTCAACCACACATTCTCCAACAAAATACTATTCTAAAATATATTTTGACAAAAACAAAAAAAGTGCTCAAACAAGGGCCTATTGTTGGTTTTAAAGCTAGAGATGACAACATGAAAATGGTTGGATAGAGTCGCCATCATGGTCCGGTTCTATCGGAGATTTTCAAGAAACATATTAGACGGGATGTAAATATTTTCATTTATCATTCTAATTAATTAATTAATAATTTTTAATATTACTTTTTATTTTCTTAAATACAAATTATATTTAAAAACATAAATGATAGGATAATATATATGTTAAAAGAATTGGGGGTTTGTGGAATTCGGAAAGGAGGGTGGGTTCCCAATCCCAGCCTGCGAGATTGTGGGGGTGAGTCAAGGTAGATAATTTTTTTCATTCCCACGTGGCCTTCAAGAATAGAAACGAAACCCAATCGATTTTGTTCGGTTTCATATCGTAATTAAATTTTTTAATGTTTAAAATTGAAATAACTTAAATGCATTTAATTATAAAAAGTAAATTTAATTTTTCAAATTTGGAGAGTCAATCTCATTTTTCAAAAAGGGTTGACTTTTTAAGATAAAAAAAAATTCTGTTTAAAGAGATTTTTGGAGATGACCGAAAAATAAACAATAACACAAAAACATTTACATGCTTTCTTTCCTTTTTTCTTTTCATTTCTTTTTTTTTTCCCCATTTCCGTCACTTCAAGCCTTCAATCTACATAAAAAATGAAATAGAAATGCATTTTTCATGGTGTTACTAGTACTCATTTTGATGAATTATATTCCGAAATGCGGTCGACAATTTTATTCACATGAAATTAGTTTTGGAATATTGCCAATATTTTTTTTAAGACTTTGTTCATATTTTGAAAAATTGTTGTGAATTGTGTATTCAAATTTTTAAGACTCTGTTTGGCTCTATTAAAATTATAATCTATTTTTTCTTTATTTTTACCACACACTTTCTAATAAAATAATATTACACGTAAATTCAAAACTTTTTTCTTTTTAATCGCACATTCTTCAAGAAAACACTATTCTAAAAATTATAATCTCAAATAATGGGACCAAACGGGGGCAACCAAGGTTCCATAACTATTATATTGTCATACCCATTTCGGTAAACCTGTAATATTAAAAATAAGTATATGCCTTCTCACATATTCTCATTTTAAAGATAAGATGTTTGACAACTTCTCGAACGTACTTTGACTAATGAAATTAGCCGAAAATCCTCGAAATGTGCCAATAAAGAGGTGCCAAAATAGCGATGGATTATAAATATCACATTACTTATGAGATCATGGAGAGCAAGAATCCGACGAAGTCAAACGTGTAATATTAAAAAAATGGAATTAAGAGCTTCAATTTTTCAATTCGAATCGAAAAACGAACCAAAATCGTCAGCCCAACTTAATCTAAGAAGAATCAAATCAAATCAAATCACATCATTTGATTTTTTAGAGACTTTTGTCCAGCTCTTTCAAATCAAGTAAATAAAAAGCTATTTGTTTAGCAAAATATGTTTGGTAAATATTAGTGGCTTAAGAGACGCTTTGGTCAGCTTTTAGCTTAGCCAAACATGTCCTCTCTGCGCACCCACCCACCCACCCACCCACCCACTTTTCTCAGCGTTAGTTCTTGACTTCTTTCCGTTATGGAATATTTCGAATATATGTAAAAGGTAAGAACGTTACGAGAATTGGATTCAGGTATCAGGGGGTTGATATTCACAACGGAAAACATTTTTACTTATACCCTGTTTGATAAGTCTTATTTTTCAAGGAAAATGGAAAATGATTTCCACTTTTTGACATGTTTGATAAGTTTAATTTTCCAGGCAAAATGTTTTCCTCTCCCTGCCTCACGCGCCATTATTTCTTGGTTTTTCTTGAATTGCTTTTTCCACCATTTCGGTGGGAAAATACAATTCCAGTTTTTTTTTTTTTTTTTTTGTAAAAAAATAAATTTTATAACCAGTTGTAAAAAAAAAAAAATTTCATTTTAATGGACAATTTTCATGTAAAACAAAGTCAAACGAATACAAAATTTAAAAATTTTTCGGATGGAAAATTATAACAATGAAGCACACTAAACTAACAATTCCGTGTAAAGCATTTTCTAGACAATTACATTTCCTGGAATTCATTTTCTTTCCACATATTTTCCACGAACGGAGCATTATTTATTCTAACCCATCTTTCATTTCCATTTTAGGGTTTCTTCAGTCTACCCCTTTCTGTAATCCCACTCTTCTCTCTAAAAGGTAACTTTTTTTAATTCGCTTTATGATTTAAAAAAAAAAAGTTACGTTGTAAATTTGTTTCTCTTTTTTTTTGGTTCCAGCACTTCATTTAATTCCGATTATGTGATATAATTGATGAAATTGGTCAATTTTTTTCTTTACTATTAACATATTTACGGTTATTGATATTTACTGGGGTTGATTCATAGGGATCATAATGTGGGTGAGTGACTGAAGTAAAGAGGAGGTGGTGGCCCTTGTAATCTATCTGTGAATTAATTTTGTCATGATCTGTGTATGTGGGAAATGGATGAGAAAAATGTTCCAAGGAATTGAACGTGTGTAGAGAAATGAAATTTATGATATGTAACTATTATGAACATTTGAATAGCCCAGAAAAAGACACGGGTTTTCTTCTTTGTTCTGGTTTGTACTCAATCAGGGACAATATGAACATCCAAAAGTTTGTAATTTTAAATAATTGGGTTTGGATTTGTAGGAGAACGAAATGGAGTTTTTTTTTTCTGAAACAACTGAAAGGAGATTTAATTCTCAAGAATAGGCGTTGGAAGCCTATTAATGATTAAACAGTTGTTTTAGAAGCAAGTTCCAGAAGGAAAAATTCAGTTGAGTTCATTGTTGAGGTCATAACATTCATACAACATCTCGAGAGTTTTAGATTTTAATTGAGATTATTGGGATCTTGATTTGTAAACACATTCATTATTGATTATAGGGAAATTCTCCTCCCTTGCCCATGTTTTTTCCCGTCTTGGGTTTTCACGTAAAATCTCCGCGTTCTTATTTGTTTTATTTATTTCAACTTGCTATATTCTTTCGACCAATTCACAACAATAGAAGTCTTCTATATTCCAAGTTAATATTGATGCAGTGGATTATATACATCAACTGATATTTGAATACCTTGATGAACAGATATTTTGTCAATCAAACCGGCTTGATTCATGAAGAGAAGGGTTAATCTTGTCAGGTTCAAAACATTTGCACATTTTATCCTGCCAAACGCCAATGTAGATCCTTTGACCTTTGTTTGAAGACATGGATAATGAAAAAAATGGTAATACTTCTCTGCTGAATGGTTCTCTCGTAAGGCCTGGTGGTGAAAAACAAACAAGAAACCATGATGACCTTTTGAATCGTCGTCTAAAGAACCGAGAAAGACAGCGTCGATATAGGGCACGGAAACGTCACGAAACTGATTTAAAGAAGGCATTAACCAGTAATCAATCAACTCCAGTACAGTATCAGAAGGTGTCTACAGAAAACCAATCTACTCCGCTGCAAGTAAAGGTTTCCCAAAATGTAACTTCCCCAGATTCTGTGACCCCTGTTCATTGCCAACGAGACTGGAAGCGAGATGCTAGAAGAGCCCATGCAAATACAGAACAAGAAATCAAATATCGCACCCCAAGTAATTCTGGAACACTAACACTGTGTGGCGGTCCCTCCTTGCAATCAGGTCTAAAAGTAGTTTCACAGATGAATAGTGGAATTCAATCCAGTGATCCTATCCCAGAGGATAATACAACACAGAGATCAGTGCCAAGCCGCAGACACTGGAAAGCAGAGGCCAGAAACAAGAAAATCTAAAGAGATTAAGGCCATGCTTTTTCAGGGTTAGCGTGAATGTCTTGCCGATGTTAATAATTTGATGAATTTGTTATCACTGCAGTATCTGTTTATGAAAAGGAATAGATGTGGAAATCATGTGACCATGGAAGTCATCTTTGTTGGTTTTTGTTGTTAATAGTTCTTCGTTTTGTTTTCTTCTCTGTTGTTGCTATTGCAGATTAAAAAATAAAAAAAATCAAGAAACGAGTAGAACAGTTAACAGTATCGTTTTTGTTTGAATTGCTGGCTAGACTCGTAGTCGTAGAGGCATTTTTTCATAACCTGTGGCTCAGTAAAACGCGATGGATATCCGTTGAAGTAACTTGTGATATGAGAAAAATAGAGTGTATGAGATCTTCTTTTGTTAGGAATTTCCATCTCATGGAATCTTTCCTTTAGAATCAATGAATCTTCGATGTGTATTACTTTCTCAAGTCTTTAGCTACTCGGTGTCCGTACATTGTATGTCTATTGTGAAATCTTGTTTCTAATTAGTGTGAGATTTTGTGAAATTACATCTTTTAATCTTCAATCAGAATTTCAGAATGAGTAATGTTACGTAGTACTGTTGGGGTTTAACGCTAGTTTACGTGGTGACATTGAGTGCTACAATTTTGGACTGCCTTACGAGAATTTTTTTAGCAAAAAGCATCGTTGCTATATTTTCATTCAGGGCAAATATTATGATAAAAAAATTTATCCAAAGAGCTCATCCTTCTTTAGTCAACTGAATATGATGAGTTTAGATAATATTATTAATTAACCATGCCATCAATAATAATAATAAAAAAAAAAGTTGGTTGAATTAAATAACTTATGACTAAAAAAGTAAGTCAAGTTGTTTGATCTTATATAAAATTATTTCGAACATCGCTTTAATACCCAACTTGCGTAATTTCAATACATCATTGATTTTCTATTTCCCCCAATACTAGAGTACAAAAACGTAGGACATGTTTGATGTAGACTATTTTAGAATAATGGCGTGTTCGGTAGAGATTAAAATCTGATTAAAATTAAAAAATTAGCCGTTATTGTTGACTTTTATTAGACGAGTGAGACCCAATAACGGTTATATTTTCAATTTTAATTGAATTTTGAGCTGTGCCAAACAAACTCTAAATTTTGTGAAAAATAATTTTTTCGAGAATGTTTGGTTAAAAGTACGAAAAGTTATGGGGGCATACAAAATTACTTTATTGGAAAATGAGTTTGAGAAAAAATGAATTTAATTTAAAGAATTTCTATCAAACATGGCTTAATATCCATTGCACAATCAAACTCATTAAATTAGCTAAATTTTGACATGTTTTATTTTCATAGCAAAAACAAGGTTTTCTTACTACAACATAATCTATTTCTCCACAAATTACATGAAAATTAACTTTTGTTAAGATTTTGATTCAACCATAGTTTCTCATTGTGAAGTTATTGAGGACATATGAGGTAAATATTAATGCAACCCAAGAATAAAACAACGGTTTTGCTACCGGTACATCAAGGTGTACATCGGCGTGTACATCACACTCACATGGGGGTGGGACCCGCTTAAATAAAAAAATACTTTATACAAGTGGGTCCTATCCCCATGTGAGTGTGATGTACACCTTGATGTACAATTCTTGATGTACAAGTAGCATTTTTGATAAAACTATATGGCTTTCCTTCCAAGAATGTACAAATCCAGATAGAATATACAAAAGAAAAGAACAATGAATATTTCAAATCTACAAGCAATTTTTGCACACGGACTACGCAATCAAAAACTTACCTTAACGCGTATATTTAGTATACAGTACTAAATATGAGATATGATCTAACATTATTATAAATAAGATTTTAATTTTTTTTCTCGTTTCTCATATCTATCGCATCATCCAAAAAGTGTATATATCATCCCTTAATTTTTTGTCTGGGATCCTCAAAGCTCCAATCTCTTCTCATCCCACTACTTCTCGCCAACCTCGGCGTGCAGTTTTCACCATCAAAATCAGCAATTGGTCCATCCTTATGAACACGATGAGGCGACATCATATTCACGGCATTATTATAAGGTGGCGGCTGATTTGCCAACCACAGGCTCAAATGTGGTTTCTCTACATTAATGAATTGAAATTTCTCATGATCTTTGTCTGAATCCGTCCTTCTCATGGCTTGGCAGTTGAGACAATTCATATTTAATGTTGCTATAAATTCTGTATTTCTTGATTAATTCCCAGTGAAAACAAATATTATATCCTTTGGATAATTAATTGAGAGAAGTGTAAGAGACAAAAAGAGATAATACAATGTTATTAAAATTATAAAGTTGGCTGCCAATGTGTTTTATTTCTTAATTTCTCCTTTATCATAGCCTATAATTGTGCTTTGAATATATTCCTTAAAGAAATCTCAACCATTGTCAGGTTGATAATATTTGAGGTTGTTGAGTGCAAGAAAAAAAAAATTAATCTAAATTATTGATGAAATAAAGGATAGGGATGACAATTCGAACTGTTAAAATCGAAAATCGCGGTTAATCTAACCTAATGGGATGAAAAAAATTGAACCAATGGTGCAATGTGGTGGTTATGGTTTTGATTTTAATGACCTGGTTCGAGGTCGGGCGGGTATTGTATTTAGCGACGGTGCCCTGTCCCGAACCGATTACCCGTTTAAAAAAAATAAATTTAATTAGACAATTAGGCTTTCCATTATTCTTTCCCAAAATTAATTGGGCAATTTTGACAATTGAGCTTTCCCAAAATTATCCTATGTTGATAATATTGTTTGTTAAATTCGAATTTTACATTTGGAAGTTGGGATATTATTTGCATTTTCATTTGGGATATTGTTTGTTAAATTGACTTAGTATTGTATTTTTGTTTTTATTGCCTTTTGTTCATAATTTTTTTTTTTATAATTTGACAGTTGGAGTTTGGACTTATAAAAAATAATTTATTTTCGTGGTTATTAACTAAACCGAACCGAATCGAATCGAACCGAATTGAGATACAAATCGAGCCAAACCGAACCGACTTAAGTGGTTATGATTTTGGCCGAACTGAACCGTTGCCATCACTAATAAAGGATTGGTTACAAAAGTTGTTGCCACTATCTTTTATGATACATGTATTCTTTTTCTTATCTCTTTACTTTCTTTTGTAATTCAACTGCTTAATAACCTAATTTGGTTGAGCTAAAAAATTGATATAAATTTAAGTTAAAGTTAACAATTAATTTTAACCATATATTTTTATAGGACCCACAACTTTTATCAACTTTTTAAACATACATTTCATTAATTTTTATCAAAATTTCCTAAAAATCTGATTTTAAGCAAAATAAAAAATGGGCAATATAGAGAATAATGGAGCATTCTAGACGTGTTCACGTATTATCAAGAATCAATTAAAAGTTGTTTAGATAAAAATCAACCATTAATTTTAACAATACATTAACAACTATAACGACTTATTGTCACATATTTTGTGAAACCTACTCATTTTCATTATAATCACATTATAATTTCTCAAGATTTTGAAATAATTCTTCTATATATTTATATACCTTTTGAGATTGCAAAGTACTCTTCAAACAAAGGTTTGTCAAGAGCTACAAATGAATAGAATATTGCAGAGACAACCTTAATAGAACATATTTTATAAATATTCAGTAAAAAATCTAGATAATTATAAACAACGATAGAATAAAATAGAATTCCACCATCCATTCGATAAAAATGCAAGTGTACATGATCCAAAGGGACCTTCATTTCTAGCAAATGAAAAAACAATTCAAGAATTGCTATTTTATTAGGGTTTACTAGTAACATATTCTCTTAGTTTTCTTTAAAATAAAAAGGTTAACAAAAACGATTCTTTTTTTCTTTTTTTTCAAAATTCTTTAAAGGTAAGAGAATATGCTACAGTTGACAGAAGTATGAAAGAAAGTGAGAGAGAATATGTTGCATGTAAGGCTGATAAGTAAGAATACGTAAATTGTAATTTTCAAATAACATAAGAAATTCAACTACACCAATTTCGATTTTAGAATCACGAAGCATCTCATGCTTTAAAATTTCTGCAAAACAAAAAATTAAATAAAAAAAGAAACAATGAATGAAGGGGGAAAAAATGCTATCCTTTGGTGTTGTCTCCACCGGAAGCCTCGCCGAGACTTCTATCGCCGGTGGCTGATTTACTTCTGTAATCTCCGAAAGTTGTACAGCTTTTGCTCCAATTATGTCCTCTCATAATTTCTGTTTTCACATTTTCTGGTAATCTCAAACTAAACTTATCTTGTTCTTTTTCTTTATTCCTAACTATTGAATGCCCAGTTGAATGTGATCTACAAAATATTTCTGCCTTATTCTCTACTTCAAAATTTTCACCTTTAAAACTCACTCTTTTTGCATCTTCATTGTCATCCTTTATTGTGATGGTGAAGCTATCTTGTAATGCCTCATTTTGAGTGGTTTCATTGATGGCATTGCCGTGGATGGACACTGGAGAGTACTTCGCAGGAGACTCGTCCGGCAAGTTGAGGTTGCGACGGCAGACGGGACAAGTTTTGTGTGATTCAAACCAGAGGTCAATGCACTCTTGATGAAATACATGGCAACATGATGTCAAAAGGCGAAGTGAATCCTCATCTATGAACTCTATCAAGCAAATTGCACATTCCAAGCCATATTTTTCCTTTCTATGATCTTTAACGGTTGAATATGTAAAAGTAGGAAAAGATTGTATTATCAATATATCAAGCCCATTAGTGGCGGTTACAGAGGCGGTCGGCCCTCTGACCGGAGTTCCGGTGGGACTATGCCGGAGGTGCCATGTGTACACTATATTTTGTATGAAAAACCTAGAGAAATATAAGGAGAAAAAACCAAGAAAGAAGAAAATAAGAAGAATAACTATGAGAATAATGGTAATAGGTTGATATGAATATTTTGCTTCCGATGGCACGGCATCGACGGGGCTGGTCGACATTGATTTGCCGGTGAAGGTAGCATATGTGTTAAGTTTAGGTGCTATGGATGAAGAGAAGTAGTGAAGAAACGAAGGAGAAAATATGGCTAATAAGTAAAAAGTTGGTTTATGTTTGATGGACAGAATTAGGGTCTTGAGCGAGTCTGCATGTGAGAAAGGCGAGGACTTTGGGTCTGAATATTAGTATTATTGGTCAGAAAACCACTAATATCTATCCAACTCATGATCTCCTTCAAAACAGGAACATCTTCCACTTGTAACTTAAACAAAAGATATTGGTGATCATTTATATATATATAAAAAAAAAAAAGCCTCTTTTTTTTTTTCCTTTTTTAACCGACATTCGACAAACATTATTAATCAACATCGGCTTGAATTAGAGACGAAATAATATTATGCGCATATGTATAGGGAAAGTAGTAGCAAAGGAAGTTAGGAAATGTACGACTTTGTTTCCTTCTCGAGAAATAAGACAATAAGAGAACCAACACCTACTTCTCTGAGCATTAAAGCATTTTTGAGCAAAACTAGATATATCTTGTACACTTTGGACGACCCTCGATGCATCAGACTCGACTATATCTACTTGTAAAGCACACTCCTTGGCAAAAAGAAGAAGATTTCGTAGAGCTAGAGCCTACTGCGAGATTGAATACTACTACGGGTGATGGGTGTTTGGTGGGATTAAAATTAGATTTCTAGTAGATTGTGATATAAATTTTTGAAATGTGTGGTTGAAAAGACCCCCATGAAAGATGTGGTTAATATTGATTGTTTGACTTTAATTTGGATTAAAATCTAATTTTAATTCTAATTTTAATCCGAAACAAATAGGGCCCAAATATTGATACATCTATTATCGAAGCATGTATGCGACTACTTCTAAAACGCTCAAAAACTTGGGAACTATGGTTAAATCACCCATGATATTTATTGTAATAAGTGTAATTCTTACACATGTCTTGCCCTCTAAGTTAGATCACTTTTTAATAATTTGAGCATTTAGATTCGGTTGTTGTTGATTTTTGTTCATCGAAATTCCCGAATTAGAGTTATATCACTGAAATTGGCAAGAAGATGTGAATAAATCGAGGTAGGTACTGAAACGAAAGTTGTTAATTAGGTTACCAATAGAACTCTGCTACATGTACACCATCCTTGTACAGCGTGATGTACACTCCACTTACATAGAAGATGCCCACAAATTTTTTATTCATGGTGGGGGCCCCTTACATGTGAGGGGGCTGTATAACATTGTGTACAAACATCATTTTCCTTACAAATATTCGTCAAACTACCTAGCATGCATACTTTTCAGACAAGAGAATGAAAGATTACCTAAACATCAATTCAAAAGGACTATTCATTTTCTTGGGTGATAAAATGACAACGTACTAGTATGGCACATCTCTTTGAATTATCAACCGTCAATTGTCTATGTCGTTTTTCAATTTACATCTAGAAATAATTCCCTCTGAACTCCAAAAGTCTTTCTGATTATGTATATCAAGTTATTTCTACGGCCAAAAAAAGCTTAAAATGTAGCGATAAATTCTATTAAGTGAAAACATTAATTAGATTGTTGGTTCTGTATACGATAATTATATTGCCCATAATTTTTGTTCACTCTACATATTAATTGTAATAAAAGTTCTTATTTTTTGTTCATTTGTACATTTATGTCCCAAAATGTTTTCAGTAATTTATTATCTATAAGCTTCAATTAATTAACACGTATTGTCTCTAAAGATAATTTCTATTTAAATATATTTTTAGCGTGCTTTAAAATGATGAGGAAATATTTTTCTCAAAATTTTCTAATTTCTAATTTTTATTATTATTTAAAAATAGATTTAATAGCAGAAAAGCCCTACAAACTTGATCATGTGCAATGTAGCCCCTTATCTATTGAAAATCGCTGAAAAGATCACTGTTGAATTTTTTTGTTCGAAATACCTCCGTGCTATCAAGATCCGTCAACAGTGCTATTAAATTCCATTAAATATGGGAAAAATGGATAAAATAAAAAGGGCAAAATTATCATTTAATAATTCCCTTTTTAATAGAACCCACAGAAAACCATTAGAGGAGATATATTGGGGCTTAATACCATTTCATTACTTGCAATCAACTTCGTCTTTTTCGTCCTTAGCTGCAAACACTTCATCTTGCAATGGACTCTCGTCTATACAGGTGTGGAATGGAGATTCAACAAAAAACTATGTGGACAGCAGCGAACTCGGGAAGAAGGTTCTTCACATGTACACAATGCCTAGTAAATCCCAAACATAATTTCAACTTTTTTACTGAATACTCTGAAGCTCTAATTTTTATTTTTTTATAGCAAAACCCACCTATGTGCAGTAGATATGTGGAGATCATATCTGAGTTGCTAAGATCCAGGAATGCACTTGAACAACAATTGTTGGAACTGTAGAGGCAGCGTAGTGCTTGTGATTTAGGTCTTGGGTTTTAGGGTTTTGGTATGGGTGTGTAGTGTTGTGGGTTTTAGCAAAGAATAAAGCTTCAACCGTCTTATAGATTTTTGTACTAAATGGATGTTAGTAAATATTGTGATTTCGTGCACAAGTTTGGTAAGTTAGATGTTCTAATTTCTTCTTACCTTGTTGTTTATTTGTATTTGGCTATATGACACGGCATGTGATCTAGATTTGTTTCAGAAGACCGTCCTAAACATTGAATAGGTTGTATGAAACAATTCTGAAAAAGTTTAACACTCTAATATACAACCATGTATTATAGTAAACTTGAGGTATTTAAACCCTACATTTATGTATGTTTGCACAAACCCACCCTGGATGACAAAGGTTGTGAACTACAACCCTATTCTGCTGAGCCCGTTCAATCTATACAAACAAAATAAAACAACAGTAAACGCAATAGAACCACCAAGAACAGTACATTAACAAAACAAATATTAATAAACCACAGTAAAAAGCGTTCACATTACGAACTATTAAGAACCAAAAGCATTACAACCATAAAGAACAGTAGATTAACAGGATAAAATGATGAGCTAAAAAGTCGATTTCAGTTTGCAACAGATGGTTCCCGTCCTTTGCACTTCCTCTTGTTGTATTCAGAGACACTACGTAGAGAAGACCTCATCAAGATTCCCTTCCTTGATTAAAGTTCGGTAGTAGATGTTGATAAGTTGGTTCTATAATGAAGTTATTAGATATCTATCACTTTTGAATTTGAGGATTTCTGCTGCATTTATGTGTTTTTGTATTATATTCAGGTACTCTCATAA